TACGTGCCGTCGCCAATACGTATTAGCGACGAAAGGGTGCCGTCTCAAAGTTTCTCAATTTTAGATTTGTATATACTTAATGATTTTTCATCAAAGTTTCTAAATTTTATTATATATGATATGCAGGCGGCGTTGGAAGCTTTTCAAAACGATGTCTTGTCCCGTGTCACGCAGTCTCAAAGTACAGAGGACACTCCTATAGAGCCTAACCGCATGACCAGAGACGAGTGGATGAAAGTTGTTGACGGAGCTTACGATTTACAATCAAGAAAGAAAGGAAGAGTGCCTCTGTCAAGTGCTAGAGTTAAGACACTCACCACCACCAATAAGCCTAGCAGCCAATCTGTGACCTCGACGCGACCATGTGACACGTCATACGTCGTGGGTAAGATTGGAAAATACTTGTTGAAGAATGTTGAAATTCCATTGGCTTTAAGTTTTCTTCCCACTATTAAGCATGAGTTAGGCGGTGCACAAACAACTTGGGATGTCGTTCAGCGACTCATCGATTCTCAACCCTTAAAGGACTTTCTTCCGCAACATATATACGCAGAGATTATGGGGTTGGCATTTGATGAGCATGCAGGTGCAAGTGGTGGAGAGGTATATATATCATATTATATATGTATTTATGATGAGTATTTTGGAATATATTCTCATATTGATTTACATTCTTTTTAGGCTAGAGGAGGTACCGCCATAGGAAGCAACAGTACGGTACGACCTTCTGATGCAGCCGCCACCGATGATAGGGATCACGATGATAGGGACCACGACTATGATGAGTGAGTGGTGAGTTAGACTTTTTTGTTACTTTTGAGGACTTTTGGATCGTGTTGAACATATTATGACCTCCGGATTGTATATATGTGTGAATTGATGAATGATGAATGTTAATGTTGTTGGATTTGAATCGGTGAATGTAAATGTGAATATTGTTGGATGTGAATCGATGAATGTAAATGTGAATATTGTTGGATGTGAATCGATGAATGTGAACGTGAATATTATTAGATGTGAATCGATAAATATGAATATTGTTGAATATTGTTGAATATTAGTAGAAACAGGTGTATATTCCCGATTGGGGGCTTAAAAGCATATTTTTTTGGATTACAAACATTGGCGACGGCACGAGCCATCGCCAATGTTCATTGGCGACGACTGTACACCCGTTGCCAATGTTCATTGGAGACGGCAAATATTGTTGAATATTAGTAGAAACAGGTGTATATTCCCGATTGGGGGCTTAAAAGCATATTTTTTTGGATTACAAACATTGGCGACGGCACGAGCCATCGCCAATGTTCATTGGCGACGACTGTACACCCGTTGCCAATGTTCATTGGAGACGGCAGGGTTGTCAGAGACGGTGTGGTCGTTAGCGACGACGGAATAAGAGGCGGAGAAGAAGGACGAGGCGTAGGAGAAGGTGGAAGACGAGGTAAAAGTGTCGGTGCGGTGATGGCTACAATAGATCTAGGGTTTTCGACCGAGCTTCGAACGGCGTGAGGCAATACTACTCGGGGGGAGGAGATGAGGACGAGGAGGGGGCCAAGTTGGAGGAGAAGTGGGGCCGAAGGAGATAACGACGAAGAGAGCAAATTGGAGAATTTGGGAATAAGAGATCTATGATAATCGGATTTCATTATTCGGGGGACGCGGCAAAAAAAAGCACGAAAAGTTTAGAACCGTTTGGACTAACCCTACAGGCTAATTTTCAGTCCCAAACAGTCAACTATTAAAAGATAAATATATGTACCTGATCGTTGCCTTTTTGTCTTAAATATTGTTCTCCAAATACATTATCTCATTAATGATTTTGGACTCACACAACTTGATAAATGTGCAAGAGTTAACATAATTATGTACTTCCCTTTTTCTTGGAGATTGTTATTTCCTAATACCCAATAGGTGGCTTTTATGCTACTTTGTTAGCTTATAAACCATCAAAAAATCAGGTACGATACCCTAGCTTATTTTTTGGCTGACTTATAAGCCACAAGATTTGACTATGTAAAAGATTAATATACACCTCATCAATTAAAAAATTTTCAAGCCACATTTCACGTTCTCCAACCTCATTAATTCTTTTTAGGCTAGAGGAGGTACCGCCATAGGAAGCAACAGTACGGTACGACCTTCTGATGCAGCCGCCACCGATGATAGGGATCACGATGATAGGGACCACGACTATGATGAGTGAGTGGTGAGTTAGACTTTTTTGTTACTTTTGAGGACTTTTGGATCGTGTTGAACATATTATGACCTCCGGATTGTATATATGTGTGAATTGATGAATGATGAATGTTAATGTTGTTGGATTTGAATCGGTGAATGTAAATGTGAATATTGTTGGATGTGAATCGATGAATGTAAATGTGAATATTGTTGGATGTGAATCGATGAATGTGAACGTGAATATTATTAGATGTGAATCGATAAATATGAATATTGTTGAATATTGTTGAATATTAGTAGAAACAGGTGTATATTCCCGATTGGGGGCTTAAAAGCATATTTTTTTGGATTACAAACATTGGCGACGGCACGAGCCATCGCCAATGTTCATTGGCGACGACTGTACACCCGTTGCCAATGTTCATTGGAGACGGCAGACGGTGTGGTCGTTAGCGACGACGGAATAAGAGGCGGAGAAGAAGGACGAGGCGTAGGAGAAGGTGGAAGACGAGGTAAAAGTGTCGGTGCGGTGATGGCTACAATAGATCTAGGGTTTTCGACCGAGCTTCGAACGGCGTGAGGCAATACTACTCGGGGGGAGGAGATGAGGACGAGGAGGGGGCCAAGTTGGAGGAGAAGTGGGGTCAGAGACGGTGTGGTCGTTAGCGACGACGGAATAAGAGGCGGAGAAGAAGGACGAGGCGTAGGAGAAGGTGGAAGACGAGGTAAAAGTGTCGGTGCGGTGATGGCTACAATAGATCTAGGGTTTTCGACCGAGCTTCGAACGGCGTGAGGCAATACTACTCGGGGGGAGGAGATGAGGACGAGGAGGGGGCCAAGTTGGAGGAGAAGTGGGGCCGAAGGAGATAACGACGAAGAGAGCAAATTGGAGAATTTGGGAATAAGAGATCTATGATAATCGGATTTCATTATTCGGGGGACGCGGCAAAAAAAAGCACGAAAAGTTTAGAACCGTTTGGACTAACCCTACAGGCTAATTTTCAGTCCCAAACAGTCAACTATTAAAAGATAAATATATGTACCTGATCGTTGCCTTTTTGTCTTAAATATTGTTCTCCAAATACATTATCTCATTAATGATTTTGGACTCACACAACTTGATAAATGTGCAAGAGTTAACATAATTATGTACTTCCCTTTTTCTTGGAGATTGTTATTTCCTAATACCCAATAGGTGGCTTTTATGCTACTTTGTTAGCTTATAAACCATCAAAAAATCAGGTACGATACCCTAGCTTATTTTTTGGCTGACTTATAAGCCACAAGATTTGACTATGTAAAAGATTAATATACACCTCATCAATTAAAAAATTTTCAAGCCACATTTCACGTTCTCCAACCTCATTAAATGTTTTTTTGGTCATTTTGACAATGATGATGTTTATAAGCCACTTAATCTATGAAACATTTTGGCTTAATGCACTTAGCTTATAATCGATTCATGGATTTTAAGCAAATAGATTATAATATAAAGTTGAGAAACATGCTCTAAAGTATGACATGTCATGGCTGAGAGATTGAGAGTTATCCACTTTAATTATTAACAACCACTCAATCAGCAATCGGATTATCAATAAAGCAAATTAAGAATATTCAAAAACAATTACAAACTACAATTATACTTTAATGTTTACATCACACTTATAATACATATGGTCAACCACACCAATATTGAATACTACACGAAGGCCCAATAAATTGATTACAATAGAAGACTACACCCTTATTCGCCTTTTCCTTCTCTGAGACAAATAGTATCATAAGTATTTGAAACTTACAACATCGAATTCTCATCCAAGAATAGATATTCTTTGCCCTTATCATATAAACAATTGTATTTGCCCGTTTCATTCTTTAGAGCTTTTCTGAATATGAAAACCACCAAGAATCTTAATCCAGGAGTTTGAATAAACTCCCTCATTTAATGGGCTTCCACCTGTTAAAAACTATACAAATCATCATTAATATCATCCTAATTACTGTACGTGTGCTTTGTAATCCAACAATAGCAAAAAGTAAAAAGATAAAAAATAAAAATAAAAAACCATCCGAAGTCTGCACCTGGCACAGAACATCATCCCTCTACCAAAAGTCATGAAATTCTTTGAATTGCCCACTTATTTCAGACTTACCTTGCGGACCATGTTAAAATTTTGTTAATTTTAATATAATTTATCAAATATGTGATCATTTGACTTCTTGTTCTCTTATAATTAAAAAAGGATAATAACAACTGAACAACGTTTCATCGTTAGGGAATGAATCAAATCTATTTGAATAATGGTTTGTGTCAATTATTATTACTTTTTTGCGTTTCCATCGTTAGATAGTATTAGATGAAGCATTTCATCAAATGGACCGATAACCATTTTTCTCTGCAACGTTCAGTGACTTTCCATGATCAAATATTCTAGATTTAATGTATGCTACAAACCTTCCATTTTCATGGATTGAAAGAAAGAGGATCTTCGTATATGTTATGAGGCACAATAAGCTACAATCACTCCTAAGGCACAAAGTTTAACACTTTACATAATCCTCACAACCTATTACATGTCAGCAGCATGATAAGAACACAAACACATTATATAAACAACAAGGTATCCATACTCAATTATAAAGCAAGAATCAATTCCTGAAAGGCTGAAAATGAACAAGAAGTCTGGAATTATACTAGATGAAGAACATTGTAGCCTTAATATGTTTCGTTAGATTAGCCATGAGCTCTGGCATTTCTTTTATTATTATTATTGTTGTTGAAATCTAAAAGATATTTTGTTGATATCTAAAAGACATTTTGTTCATATATAAAAGACAAAACGTATGTGGACATTACTTTGTATGTGTACTATTAACTTCATATCCTTTGGTCTTCCATCATGTATCTATAAATTGTACGATGTATGAAAATAGAATAGATGAATAAAATTATAATTTCTCTTCTTCTCTTGTCTCTTGTATCTTGTTTCATTTCTTTAGTATATTATAACACATTATCAGCACGAGTGGCTCTAGCCAAAATTTTAGCCGAATTTTTTTTATCCCTTTTCGGGAGATTAAGGTGGAGTGTACTATGCATAAGGATGATAGGAGTTTGGCTTCCTTTATTGGGTTTCGGGTTCAGCATGATAATGCCCACGGACCCATGAAAGGAGGGATCCGATATCACCCTGAGGTATGACTGTATGAAGTTTCCGTGATAATTGGTAGTTTTACTTTGTTTTGATTATAGACGTTGATTGCGATTAGTTTAAAAGTTATATTGTTTGTTGCTAATAATGGATGATTTTGACATATGTTATCGATTAGTTTAAAAGTTATATTGTTTGTTGCTAATAATGGATGATTTTGACATATGTTATCTAGTTTCCAATGCTACTTGAATCATGATATTTATGGATGATTTTGACATATGTTATCTAGTTTCCAATGCTACTTGAATCATGATATTTAATTGTTATCTCTAATCTGCATAATGATGAGAGTATTCAAATTGTTCCGTATGAATTATGGTAGCTAAAATTTTGAGGACTCAATTTAAGTTTGTATGTCCATAACTGGCTTTCTTTGGGCAAATGAGATCAGAAATATGTAATAGCTGAAATTTTCTTAGGTTTTTGCATATTAATCTAATTTTCACAAGTTTATACAGCGGCACGTACTTGTGAGATCTTCCATTACCTGTTCAACATGAACCTTTCATTTTTGGAGTTTTTAGAGTGATCTCTCTGTTCATTTTTATTATGTTTTGATTTAATTCTTTTTAAAAAAATAAAAAATAATAATATATATCTCAAATAAAT